CATCTTTTGGAGTAACAGTGCAACAAAGTTCAGGTCTGTCATCATCACTTATAAGAAAGAAATTTAAATGGGAAAAATTACTGTCTCCTGCTTAGGGAATACAAAGCAACAGTCACCTGTTTATCTAGCAGGCAAGAAACGCACATCACTCAACCCATAAGGTTTTAGACTAAAAGCAGAAATTTCACACGCTAACCCTAAGCGTCTTTAGGCGGCCATTTCATTCCAGTTAGCCAGATATGAAAAAACATCCATTGCCTTCCAGCTGCATAGTAATTCATAGGAGATAGGACTGGGCTTTGGTTTTTGACAGGGCTCATTTATAAATATGAGAAGCTACTATTTATTAATAAAATGTTCTAGCCATTTGTATTTTACGGTCACTTTCCCTTCCCTTCTCTTTACTCACAAGCTTCCTATTCTGCTGCTGTGTAAAAAATACACAAATAACAAAAGCAGTTAGGTCTACTTTATTTTTGAGCATACAACAGAAGAATAACTCTTCTATTACTTGTTACAGCAAGCTTAAAATGAGTCGTAGTAGCAGATTCCCATAGAGAATATTTCCTTTAACATTAACAAAAATTACAGATACATACAAACTTGCACTCATTTCAAAGCTCCTGTAAGAATTATTTGAAGAGATGTCTTCAAAGGGAAGATATGGTAAGTACTAATCCCGAAATCAATTACTTCGTGGCCAGTATTTCAAATTGAAGAAAAAAGGAAAAAGCAGAAAGCAACAACTTGCTGTTCTTTTTCTAAAATTCAGTTACAGTTCACGTCTATTGCCACCATAATTATTCATGTTCATTATAGTTCACAGATATAGGTGTAATAGCCACACCAAAAACAATTCTAAACACGGGCACAGATCCCTTTCCCATGCAAACAGCCTGTTGAGCCAGAACTGTAAGAACTCTGACAACAAACCTATCCGCATGACACAAAGTCTGCATTCCTATTTTCTCCTTCATTGCCTCCTCCTCTGCAGGCAAAATTTATACTATAGAAATGTTTTTGGCAGGTGGAGAGTTAACTAAGGATACACCATACAACTCTTATGAGCAACTGAGCAACCTTATAATAACAAACTTGTAGGATATATAGAATGAAAGCTTGGGAAAAAAATCTTGGAGAGAGAGAACTACAACCCTTGTTGTATTATAGATTTAAAAAAAAAAGAAAAAATCTGTTCTAAAGCGTTCAGACTGTGGGCCATCTGGGCTGCAGATGCAGAAACAACTCAGGTCTGACAGGATTACTAGCAGGAACCTCTCACTGTGAGACACGATGTACCTGAACTAGCTTTGGAGGTAGTCAGTATAGCTGCCTTTCTGCAGCCCAGAAGCCTAACTCTAAAGCACTTTATGATCTAAACTGATACCGCAGAGATGGTCTTTCTGTCTCCACACAGAGATACACATGTACAAGTGCAGAGACTACAGTAATTCTAGATTCAGCTGAGATCTAGATGAACACTAGCTCAAATCCTACGTGGCTAGTTCAACAGGGAGTCACAGCCCTTCAACACATTCCCAAGACTAAAGTCCAGGAGGTTTATTAGGCCAGCTGTAGTGACACACAAACACACAGACTTAGTTCAGAGCCAGCACTGCATCAACTTCATCAGACTTCCCATCAAGACCTCATGAGACTTCCAGAGTCAATGACGTACAACACACACTCCAGTGAATCACAGTGAACAGTTTACTAATAAAGTTGAACAGTTTTTTTGTGCCTGGTATCCCTATCACATGCATTATTGCAGCTGCTCTTCATCATAAGCATCAGGAAGAGTAGCTTGCAGTAAAATGCAAAACATGGTGCCACTTTGCTCCCCACTCAATGCTGTAATTAAATCATTCTTATTACAAGATCATCCAGAAAGAGGCTGATGGTGAAAAAGCCTTTTTGAACCACACTGGCGCTACCACAGTTCCCAAACTTAGGTTCTCAGGGCATTCTTTGGGTATGGTAGTAACTATCAGCCCCTGGACAGCGTACCTTTTCCAGCTTCCCAAGCCAGGACGCTACCCCTTACATACTACTCCACGTGTACACATCCTCACACAGATCCTAACAGCATTTTTCTTACATTAACACGTACGAGCCCTGTTTATCTTTTTGAGTCTGAAATTCAAGTACCATCTGCAGACATCAAAAAGGTTACATGCATGGCTATAGCAGCTGATCCTGACACAGCTGAAACTGAGAGCAGTTGCTGCCCATCCGTATTGAAGAGACTCACGTTCCATGCTCGCTATACACCAGCTAAGATAAATCAGTTGATTTAGGGAAAATTAAAGACTTTACAAGCAATATTAAAAAAGACTTGCACAGTAATTGGAAAAAGCACATAATGAATACAAGGATGAGATCCCAATATGTCCTACATATACATAATTATAAGTTATGAGTGAATAAAACAATTACCAGACACCTCCATCTGCTCATTAAACAAACAGTTCAGGTTTGTAAGTCTCAGTTGCTCACACACTCATGAAAATATGACCCACTAGGGCCAAGACACAGCATGGCTTGCCGGACATGGAACTGTGCTTTCCAACTAGTAGCTGACCATTCAAAACCCAAGATACTGGCTACCACCTCACTGTCCAAAGACCAACATCAACCAGCCAGGAAGCTTACATGGCTGACTAATCAGCTTCAGCTTCCACTGACAAGCAGCATGCAACAGCTTAGCAACAGCATACAAAAGAAAAGGGACACAGCAGACACCAGTGTCAACAAGTGAAAGTGTGTGGGAAGCCAAATGCTATGACCTGCCATTAAGTGAAGTTTTCCAGTGGCCTACCTACATGAGTTACGTACTCCCGAGTTAGTCAACTGCTTACAGTTGTTAAAGCAGGAGTAACTTCAGCACAAACAATTAATTCTGCTCTCAGAACAGATTTATTTGCCCAGTAAGCATTAACTCCAACTTTACGTGTGTGCGCGCGTGTGTGCGTGTATATATATGTTTTACAGAGAGCATCAGTAGGGAAAAACACGCCTAGAGCGCAAAACTCAGATCTCTTTTTAAAAAAGACTAAAAAAAGACATGTTCCATATAACACAGCTAATTTAATTCTGGTTTTGTTTCTAGACAGAAATGCCATCAGGAGAACTTACATTCAATCTCCTACAGTGATGGTTAGGAAGTTTGCCTTTGCAAGCAAACATGATACAACTTCAGTATCTGATAAGCTTGTTACAATACAGTTCCAGTTCTCTGTACCAAAGCCAGAGCGCCAGTCCAGTTTCTAAATGTTAACAGCTCCCCCAAGACACCTCATAGGCAGTCACCGTTATTTCTAACTCACTAACACAGTAGTTAAAACTTCAGCTGTTGTCAACCTGTTCTAACACATATGCAGTTACAACAATTTCACTTGAGAACCAGTTAAACCTATGCTATATTACAAACGGGAAAGATTCTTTAACCAGATCAGTAATCAACCTGAATCTCCATGAACAGATCCCTTGTTAGGTGGGAACAAGGGCAAAATATCGTGAACAGAGAAGTCAATTACATTTATCACTACTCCTTGCTAACAACTTCATATAGCCAAGAAAAGCAGAATAGTGTCCATCAAAGCTATTCTCTTTGGTAAACTCAGGAAATTATCAGAATGCAGTGAGACATTGTTTATTTTAGAACTCAGTACAGTTCTCCTCCATTCCCTGTGTCAGTAGAGGCCAGGAATAATAGTATCCTAAACCCTGATGAGAATTCCCTATCACACTCCAAAAACCTCTTCCTTCCAACTGCCTCTCACTTTTCCCCTCTACTATTTGTCTTTTCCCAACGTACAGATCATTCAGTCCTTTACAGATCAAATTCAGCAACGCTAAAAACAAAAATGCTATTCCTAAAACTTTACATTGCTGATGCTCTTCCTAAGAAGAGTTCGCAGCTAATAAAAAAAGAAATAGCCCTTTCTTTAGGAACAGTAGTATTTTTGATTTGCTGTTGACAAATGTTTGGAGAGCACATTATTTTCAATCTGTTCTTCCTCCCACTGACAGAACTGCTTGGGAAGGACTATGAAAGACTAGATTACTAGGGCATTATAAAAATATTAATGGCAAGTTGGGAAAAGGTAGAGGAATGAAATTCTTCAGTCATGTGTCAAAAACTCACACTCCTAGAAGTCATCCTGTCATTTTTATAGTACTTTACATTAAAGAAGGACAAATATACAGCAAACAGCTCATGTAAACACTCCACCTGTCACTGACAGTAACTAAAGATTTGGTCTGAAAGGCTCTTTATTTGTTTTTAGATATAAAAGTTAGAAGTTTACACTGCCACAAATTACTGTATAACCTTCTATTTTAATATGAGGAAGCCATTTGCAGAAGTAAATGAACAGCTAGTCTTTCTAAATATTCATCTTTATCTTTTGCTGAAAGGCCAATAAAAAATGCCAGCCAAACATAAGTGTTTCTCTTTTCCTGAAAGTGACTGCTATTATGCAGCTTGATCTAACAGACAAATCTGACAAGAAAGAAAACAGCTGAGCTGCATGTAACCGAGAAAAAAAAATTTGTGTTTTTTTTTTTTCTCCCCAGAAGGATTATCTGAATCCCCAATATTTTAATCAGAGAAAACGTTCTACAAGGCAGAGGAAAAAAAATGTTTCTTTGACCAGAAGTATCACATGAAAACAGTCAATTCTAAGCATTAGATGCCAAGACTAAGAACAGTGGCAATAAAGTGTTACTAAATTAAAGTTTTCAATCGGCACTCTAAAATTGTTATAAAAGAAAATCAGAGATAGATTCTATTTCCTTCCCATGTCTAACTATACAAGTACCAAAAAGACAAAATTATACAAAACCCACACCACAGATAAAGAAAATCTTTCTTAAATAATGCTTAAACGGAATAATGACAGAAAGCTAAGCTATTTTCTACAGTTACTGAGATATTTGGGCAAATATTATCCACACAAGCATTACAACTTGCATTACTTAATAAACAAAGCACATACCACTCTGGCTGCTCTTTCCTGAGATTCACACTTCCTGCAAAACCAAGGTCCAGTGGGTACTTGAACAATTCCATAGCAAGCTGTTTTGAACAAGATAAAATATTTAAGCAAATGCAAGCAGCACTACAGTATAACTAATACTAAGCTCTTTTATAACATTCGTATTAGTAGATCTCAAATCATCTTACCAAGGCAAGTTGACATCTATACATTGTACATGAAATCCCATCAAAATGGTACTAGAAATGAAGTACAACACACTTCCACTTAAAAAAAGCAAAATATTCATTATGATTAAGTTCAAAATTATGGATTACCTTGAAAAGTAATATAATCATTCAAAAGCAGCAGATGTTTTACATGCAATCTGTTCTGCTATCTATTTACTAGCATAATGGGTAAAACAGCTTTACAATAACAAACATCTGTCATGTGTTATAAAGTGCTTTAAACACAGAACTAAAAACAACTAACAAATCTCAGTTTGTCATAAGACATTCATGTACTTAGTTTCAAATCAAGTTTTCTTACTCTTTTTGAGTAACATAACCGGTCTTAAATAGGAAAGCCATAAGAAACTGAGCATAGTTAAAAGTTTGGTTTTTTCGAAGTTCAGATGGAATTGCAAATATGACCTAAATTGAGCATCACAGCTAGGGTTAGGTTCAACTATATCCAGCCTGGAAAATAAGTCCTCATGAGATTGAGACAGGCAGATTTCCATGTTTTTTTTAGGAGATAAAGTAGAGCTTTGAAAGGAAATTCCACAGAAAAAGTTTTTGTATCTCATGTTTGAAATGCATGGATCAGAAAACTTTAAGAACTGCTGATGTAATGAAGATACAAGAACACAAGTACTGAGAGTATATTCAAATATCTGTATAGGCTTCACTACTAATACCTACAATGAAGCCAAAAAATTTTCCTCAAAAATATGCCTTGAATCTGACATTGCATTTTTTACCCTTAATTACCAATTACTGTATTTTCTTTAAACAGAATTGCTGGTTTAATTGTGTAACTAATTTAAAATATATTTTAAATTAACAGTTAAGAGGAAAAGCAGAGTTGGAATTAGCATCCACTAGTAACTGTTTGGTTTATGTGAGCCTGAAGGGGAGAGGAGGGAAAGCAATGCTGCAGGAATAGTACTGTGGCATATAAAACGTCTGGCTAATGCACCTTTCCTTCTACAAAGGAAAATCAGCTAAACTATTTCCTATTATATGCAAAAATATAGTTATCAGATTTTCAAACACACTCTTCAAGTACTGACAGACCAAACTATCTTGATAACCCCTTTTCACTGTACAGTAAAGTTCTTTTAACATTGCAACTAAAACAAGATGTTTTCTGCATTTATATTAAGTACAGCTGGGGGGGGGGCTTAGAATTCCTTTTTAGAGATTAAGTGGGGGACTCTGAACGTGCAATCACACACTTAAGTTAGCAAGAGACAGTGCAGAGTAAGAAACTAATTATAGAATGCAACTCAGAGGCAGGGCTGGCAATTAGATCCAAAAGCAACACAAGCTGGGCAAAGACCAAAGTTGAAGTAAAGTTTTTATATCTGCAAATGTAATAGAGTACATCTGGAGCCTAAGGAAAAAAAAAAAAAAAAAAAACACACCACAGATTTGCGCTCTGATATGCTGCAGTGTTCTCTATTGGGTTCCATAACTTCCTTAGGTTTATACTTCCACTACAATATGAAGCTTCTACAAACACATGAAGAGATTTTGCCCCCCACAACTTGCCAGTGACTTAATGTTTGAAGAGAGGATTCTTCTAAATCAACTAAAAAATTTAATGTAGGTTGAGAAAGTCTCATGGGTAATACTCATGCCTGCATTTCAAATGAAAACTACCAGTTTTGATCATGAGGACTACCCATTTTAATCAGGCTATGGAAAGAAAATTTAAAGTGGACATGCTTCCTCTACCACCTTCACGTGACACATCAGATTCAATGCACAGAACATTAACAATACAGTAAATCAAGACATTCAGTTCTTCCTTTCTCAAGGCCTCTACAATAGCACCTGGATTCTGAAGATGCTCTATTTTGCACACTTACTTCCAGACTCAGATCCAGATTTAGACCCGCACTTAAAAAGAGAAGTGCAATATGCTTGTACCCAATTTCCTGAAGTCTCTCCCTACATTAGGAGCACTTCCTAGAACAGACTTTTCTTGTGGAACTGAAGTGGTGGTAACAGGTACTGGGGTGTTAGAACATCAAATTCTTTCACATACACTATTACCGAGGCTCTAGACACAAATAAAGACACCCAAGATAATATAAGAATAATTAGTTTAGGCATGACTTCTGGAAGTATTCATGTTGGGGGGGGGGTGTCAATATTCCAAGATTCCACAGAAGCAAAGAGTGAGCTTACTAGTTAACGTTACTTGGTTCTTAAAAGAACAGAGCACTGACTGATTCATAATCAGACTAATTTCACAGATCCCTTTCAGCTCCTCTCTACCTCCCATCTGACATTAATAGCAATAATTGAATTTTTCCACAGATCTCCTTAAATTGTGACCAATTCCTCATATACTCCTTTGTAAACTGGCAAGAAATAATACCTGGAGTAAATGGTTGTTATATTCTGTTATCTCCAACACAATTCACATATTATAAAATTGAGCATGAGACACGTTAGCAGTATTTTCACATTTGCTAGCTATTTGGGCTAATTAACTGGATTTAGGGTTTAATTTTTGTCCCTCCTCCAATTTGTTCACCATCTACTGAGTTCACCTGATTGTTTGGGAGCTGATACAGAGAAACTACCAAGTTATTCCTTACTCCTGCTACCCGTTTAAAGCAAAAACTGTCATAACTTCCTTTCTTACAATGTAAGCAGCAGAATCCAGTCTCTCCCTCCACTCTCGAAAGGAGGGTCAACCCACTGACAGAAACAAAACAATCACACATACACAGAACATGCCAGCGCCTGAGCTGAGCTGGAAACCAACCAACCAACCTCCACTAATCCAAACAAATCCAGCATCAGCCATTAAGGCTAGCACCCTCCCCCTGCAGAACCACAACAGGAAGTCTCTTCATCTAACAGGCAACATCAGCCAAACGACATTCTCAAGGAAAGGCAGGCAGAGGAAGAAATCACATGACAGCTAAGTCTCTCTTACATATGTCTGTCTCCCATTCCTAAAGCCTCCTTGTCTTCTGCCTACTCCTCAAATAATTTTTTTTTTTTTAATTTCGGGAAAAAAGGGTTTGGGAAAGGCAGGGACAAAAAGGAGCAAGCGTAAGAAGAAGGAAATGAAGCAACAATTGCCAGAATAGAGACTAGTGAGAAGTTACAGAAAGAAGGAAGGGGGTTTTACGTCAGCTCTGGACTGGTGCAGTTGAGATTGTTAACAGGATGCAAAGGAGGACTGGGAAGCATAAACGTACAAAAGGAAAAGGTGAGGAAGAGGAAAAAAGACAAGAGGAGGGGGGGGGAGGGGGAGTCTCCTTCCAATAATATGATATAAGAAGTCTTGCGTTGGGGAAAAGATAGACAAACTGGAAGGCTACAGGATGACAGGGCAGGCCCAACCAGAAAGCGCGTGTCTGTAGAAACAGGGAGATAACAAGCAGGAGCTCCGTTCGGGGTGGGGGGGGAAGAAGGGGAGGAAAGAGGTGCAAGGGAAGGGGAGAGGGAACACCAAGAAGGAAGTGGTGAGGCTGGAGGCCAGGGCAGGCGAGCTGGCACTCGCTTGCCTACTCACCTTGATGCACTGCGACATTGCAGCCGTGCCCGTCGCAGTAGACAAGCGGGTTCTCGGCCCAGCCCCTCTCGTCGGAGCACACGCAGCAGCCGCCGATCATCTCCTTCATGCTATTGGAGAACTCGCCCTCCAGTGACACAGGCAGCAGCAACGGCTCGCTAGAG